AAGAAAATAATAAAACAAAATCATCCTTGTTATCAATTTTCATTTTCATATAAAGGAATAATAAATGCACTTTGTGGAAAACAATATCCAAAATGTTTCACACCAAAACAATTCATTGTAATTGAAATGAAATGATTTTTATTCATTATTATTTATTTGAAAACTAAAAACTAAAAACGAATATAAAATAAAATTAATAAATGATATGAACATTTCATCTATCAATAAATGAAATGATGAATATAAAAATATTCACATTTCTTTCTTGTTTTATTTTATTTGAAATATTTACACTCAATGTGTTAATTTAATAAATAATAAAAAGAAATAAAAATAAAAGATAAATAAAAATATAATAAAATATTTATTTTATTCTTTTTTATTTATTTTTTATTTTATTTATATTATGAGTATAATGAATGATTTATATAGAAATAATAGAAGGTATTAAAATGAAATGACTTATAGAATAAAATAAGAAAGAGTCATAAATATTAAAAATATAAATGATTAATGAATAAAATAAAAAGATGATAAAGAAATCAATAAAAAGAAGAAGTGATAGAAAAAGATTATATCAGAAAATGGAAGAAGAATAAAAATCACAACAAATTCAATAAATTTATAGAAAATGAATAAAAACAAATTCAAAAGTATTGAAAGAAGATGTATTAAATAATAAAAATACATAAATATTATACAATGATACAAGAAAATTGAATTAATAATATTATAATTTATAAAATTATGTATAAAATGTTGATAATAAATGAAATATATATTATATTTGTTTTATTTAAAAATATATTTAATTTGATATTTGATATAATTATAATTGAATTAATGGAAATATATGATATAGTTGATAGAATATTATATAAAAAGAATATACAAAATAAATTAATTAATAAATTTGTTTATAATAATAAATTGACAAATTAGATGAAAAATATTTATTAAAATTAATTAAACAATTCAATACATTATAAGAGAACAATTCAATGAAATTAATATAAAACAGATGATTTGTATTGTTATAACAAAGAAATAATAATGAAAATAACATTTTTTATGAAAAACAAATAAAAATGATTATTGATAGAAATGAATAAATATACAAATCAAATATATCAAGATATATTTCATGATACCTCAATATATACTCAAGAAGAAATATAAATGAAATAAAAAAAGAATAAAATAAGTAACATAAATGAAATATTATTACAAAAAAACGGAATAATTAATAAATAAAAATAACAAATACAAACTCAGCCTTAATAATACAAATTAAATATTATTGAATTTAAAATCAGATAAATTGATTTAACATATGAAATAAATTAATTGAATAAGTTTTATTTAATAAACTTTTTTATTCTTCCACTTTTTAGAAATTTATCATATAATATTTTATAAAAACAACTTTTTTATACTAAATTAAGATTAAGATAAGTATAAATCATATAATATGAAAAATCAAGTAATGATTACAAAAACAAATAACTCTTAATATAATTACTTAATCAACTTACTCTTCATCCAAAACCAATAAATTTATTAATCTTCTTTTATTTGAAACATCGTTTGTTATTTTATTTAATTTCATTGAAATTGTTTATTTAATTAATTAATTATCATATCTATCTTGGCTTCTATACGTTTAATTATATTTGATGTTATTGAATAACATGTTATTTTCTTATGAACCAATTTCAGTTATTGTTTAAATTTAACCCTCATATTTTCTAAATTTGATATTTGATAATATCTCTTTGTTTTATCTGCATATTCTTCTTTTAAAATTACTTTCAAAATACCTGAATTATTTAAGAATGATTAGATGAATGAAAGGAATTGGTATTAATCAAAAAATAGTAAACAATATTGTGTAGTTGTTCTTTTATAGAATACTGAAATAAGAAGTTTTACAAAACTCTTGTTATTAGTTTTCTTGCAAAATGAACTTAATTTTATTCTTTGTTATTAAAATGATTATCGTTATTCAATGAGTAAAACAACTAAAACAAATTACAAAGAATAGAAATATTTTATAATTGTAAAAGACATTATTATTAATAATCAATCCTTTTCTTTAATTTTCATTAAAAAACATCAAGATGTACAATTATTGTACAACAATATTGAAATGAAAAGAAAGTAATGAAAAGTTTAATATGAATTAATTACTTCTTTGAAAATTTCTTAAATCTAGAAGCTCTTTTATCATTCCAAGTATTTGTAGCATTTTGGAAAATATATGAAGAATAATCATTATGTTGATCCATAGCACTTTCCATCTCTTCAGCATATTCTCTATATATTCCTTGCATTGGAACAAAAGAAATTTGTTGTGCTTGTTGGAATTGACGAAGATTTCTTCTTGCTTCATCAGTTCTACCTTCATGTCTCATTTGAGCAGTTTGTTGGATATAAAATGTTTGTAAAATTTGTCCATCAATTTGTAACTCTTCAGATTCATCAGCAATATCAATTGTTTGAGTTAATACACGAACTCCTTTCAATCCATTCTTCTTTTTATATTCAATTTGTATTTGAATAGGGAAATTTTTCATTTGTCCAAATTGTTGAATGTCTTCACCAGGTCTTAATCCATACTTAAATTGATATCTTGAATCATCCATAACATTTCCTAACACTACTCTTCTTCTACTTGGTTGTTCTGATTCTGAAAAATTATTAATGTAAATAGCTGGATGTAAAAATATTGAAATAATTACATCTGTTGCAATTAAATTATTAGATAATGCTTCATTAAATGCTTCTCCAATTTGACTTGGCTCTACAATCATAACTTCTCCTGAACTTTTAACTGCTGTTTCTCCAATTATTTGCATATTGGTATCACATCCTTTTAATGTATTAACATTAATAACAACCCCATTTTGTAATGCTAATTCCCCAATTTTTTGATAAAACTTTTGACTCACTTCATTTGTTTCTTCTAAATTCCCTAATCCACAATTTGAAGTTCCATCAGTACATAAAATTACTTGACCATTTGGTTCTTTACTAGCAATAATAGTGGAAATTAATAATGCTGGTCCTAATGCAGTACTCCCCTGTTCTTCCATATTTTGAACTGATTTTAAAATATTTTGTATTGTATTATTAATATTATCTAATTGAACCTTTTCCTTAGCAATATCAATAAGACCATCATAATCATTTAATAATTCAGTCTTAATAATAATTGGTTGTTTTGTACAATCCCCAAGAATTTTAACATCTTTACTAAATCGAACTATACAAACCTTTTGTTTTGGATGTTTTTCTTTTAAAATACAAACTTGTTGACAAATGGCATTCTTTACTACATCCAAACGAGTAAAACACTTTCTTTCGTGTGTGACTTCAATGTTAATAGCCATTGACCCTGATGTGTCAATGCAATAAACAATAATTCCATCACTCTCTGGTTTTTCAATCAAAGCTTGTTCAATTACATAGTCAAGAATTGGTGTATCAGGAATTTCTTCTGGTAAAATCTTCTCACATTCATTTTCTGTTCCACAAAACCTACATTTCCATTTATTGTTTTCTATACCATCTAAATGAGAAAGACTACTTTTACAATAACTACATAATATTGGATCACCCACTCTCATTGGAACGTCTTGTTGTAAAAATCCTAACTCAACAGAAACAACGTTTGTGTCAAGTGTTTCATTATCATCAACACAACAATGTGATGGTGTAGAGCCAAATCCTCTTTTAGATGATGTTTGTAGTTGTTTTGAAACTGGAGTATTGCACTTTTTTGATGCAAAACGAGCTTTATTTGTTGCAAATTGCATTAAGAAAGTAAAAGAAAGAAGTTATTCTAGAATTGTTAAGAAGAGAAAGATGATTTTTAACATAATCTCAAATATATAAAAAAAGTAACTAAAAAAACAATAATCTTAATAACGTTATATATGACATTAATAGTACTTCAATATAAAAGAAAAGTTACTGGAATGTTATTGAGAAAGTCATGTTAATGTGTTTAATCATAGAATGCTAAGAAATATCACTGATAAATGCATATCGGATACGTTGTCATTGGGACATTATCTATTATTGTATTTTTATTATTTAATTTAATACGACTTACACCATTTGATATTAAACAGAAATTAAACTCAGTTTATGATAGAACAAATAACATAGATCAATTGGAACATCCTACTTATGTTGATTCATTATTTAATATGACAAGATTTAATTATTCTGGAGAATGTGGTAAAGTATTTAAATACAAACCAAACAATAAACGTGATTTGTTATTGTTTGCCTCTTCTTTCGATGATCCCCAACGATGGGCTAAAATGAAAGAGTCAAGTCAACACATTATGGCATTGACTGAATCAGCTCTTCCAAGAGCAAAAAAAATATTATTACTTCTTGGAGAAGCTCCATCACCAACATTTGAAGAAGAATTAAATAAATATGGAATAGAAGTAATAAAAGTAATTTATGAATTACCAGTAGCAACAGCAGTTGTTCAGAGGATTTTTGCAGAGAAGATTTTCCTTGAAGAAAACAAACATAAATTTGATAGAGTTATTATTGCAGACTTTAGAGATGTACTTATTTTTAATGATGCCTTTGCTACCTTTTCATCAAATGATTTGGTATTATTGATGGAATGTTTATCATTCAATTCAACTGATCATTGTGTAACATTAAATGAAAAAACAAATAAGAAATGGATGATTGAAGCTTATGGGGAAGAAATAGGTAAGAAGTTTGCTGAAAATAATGATATTTTAATGAATGGAGGATTGTTTCTTGGAGGAATAAATAAAATAATAGAACTTCTAACAATTCAAATTAATAATTTAAATAAAGATAAAATGATGCTATGGGGACAAGACCAAGCTACATTAAATTATATTCATCTAACTGGACAATTAAATCATTTAAATATTACTAAAGATTATTGTACTCAAAGAATGTGTTTTGCAGAAAGTTTTACTGGATATTATGATAAAACAATGAAACGAATAACAACTAAATCAACAGGATGTTCTCCAATTATCAGACATAAATTAGTATTTTCAGAACCTCGTTTTAAATATCCACCTAGTATTAATTAATAATATAATTTTATCTTTCAATTTAATTATTCTTCTTTTTATTTCTTGTTTTATCTTGTTACACTCTTTTACTAGATGTTTTGTAGACTCTTTTATAATTATATCTTCTATCTCATTACTACCTTTTTATTCATAACACATTTTGTTCTTATTATTTCTAATTCATCCTTATCTTTATGATCATTGTTATTGTGTCATTAATATTGAGATATTCTATATCTTCATTTATTTTAATTATCATTTCTTATCTTTTTTTTTTATTCTATTCCTTTATCTTGTTTATTGTTGTAATGGTATTAATTAAACATGTTATTTGAACTATAGGAGTTATGTTGGAATTAGTTTTGTTTGTATTATCAATAAATTTAATTGAGAATGTATTTTTGATACTGATGATGTTTTTTTATTTCTTCGATGTTGGTTTAACATTTTTTAACATTATTTCTTTGTGAAACATTGTTTTTATATGAGATTTGTAACATTATTGTCTTGGATAAGTTGATATAAAACAGAAGTTAATAAAAGAAGGAACCAAAATAAGTGATGAAATATACACATAAATAAAAATCACAAAAAATGAATAAAATAATTTATATCAATAAAATATTGTTAATTATTTTGTACCAATAAATTAAACACTTTTTATTGTATATTTCTAATTTCTGTAATAAAAAAATACACTAATTATTTCATCACTCTTTTTGAATTACTCCTTTTATCTTCTTTCTTTTTTATATTCTCAACTTTTTACTTTTATTCTTTTCATCTTCTTCTACTTCATAATTTCACTTTTTTCTTTCATATCATTCTTTCTTTTTATTTCTGTTCCTCTTTTTTCTTTCATTTTTCATGGTTTAGTAATTATATTTGATTTTATTCAATGGATATAAATTATAACTAATTCTTCACTATTTCAAAGTGAATTTATAAATTAAGTGATAACAAATATGACAAGTATCTAAATATAATCAAAATAAATTTAATAATCATAATATAATTAAAATACATAGATAGAGATAGTAATAATGACAAGAGATAATAGTATAATATAATAAAATGAATAATAATATATGATAATAATTTTATTCTATTTTTAATTGGTTTCAATTAAAATTTATTCATTTAAATACACAATGTTCATTTAATTTATTTCTTATTATTTCAATTTATTTACTACATTTAATTAAAACAAAGTATTATTAATATTAAAAAGAAGTATTAAATAATAAAACAATATCAATATTCATTTTATTATGAATATAAAATAATACAATAATTTAATAAAAATATTTAAATTCATTAACATTTATTAAAATATTAAACATATTAAAGCAATAAGAAGAATAAAAGAAGAATGAACTATTATATTTAATTATATTGTTATATATTAATAAGATTATTAAATAAGAAGATTATAAAAGAATGATGAAATTTAATTCAATAAATAAAGTAATTATTTATTAATTATTTTATCATTGCATAATAAACATAATATGTGATCAGTTAATTATTGAATTAAATTTAATTCATAATGAGAATATGAAATCTGTTGATTCTAATAAATATTCTAATTATATCATTTTATTTAACATTGAAGAATAATTATCAAATTGATATGATTTGATAAATTAATTCAATTGTTATTTATATTTCAAAGTTGAATATGATAAATAAATATTTATAATAAATTAAAATAAAAAGTTATTTAATTATATTCAATCAGATTAATGATAAAATTAAATCTAAATGAACATCAAATTTGATTAATTGATTAAATTTTAATTTTATTATTATTTGTATTAAATTGATAAAATAAGAAGATATATTTCTTAATAAAATGTAAACAAATAATCATAATGAAAAATATAAACTAATATAATAACTTATAATAACATGTTTGAATATAAATTAATAAGATTTCAATACAAATTAATAATGTATTTACTAAATTATTACTTATAGTTTATTAATAAAATTACATTTAAATTAATAAAATAATGTATATTAAAAGTAGAATAATCAAATAAAGTAAATTTAACATATTAAAATGTAATAAATAATATAAATAATTATTTATGTTATTATTATATTGAATTATTATTCATTCTTTATATTTTCAATTTATTTAAATTAAAATAATATTTAATAATAGAATTATAACAATTGAATTGATTTATAATAGTATTAATTATTCTTATACTTTTATTTCATTGTTATTTGTTATTAAATATAAAATTAATACTTATTATCATTAATTTATTATTTTCATTTGAAATATCTCATTTATAATACCTGTTTTAATATAAATGAAAATATTTTAAATGAGAATATCATATTTATTGAATCACATTAGAATAATACTTATTTTCCAAATCTATCAATTTTGAATACAATAAACAATGAAATACTTTAACTATAGTACTTATCATAATATTTACATCTTCATAATATTACCAAACAATATAAATAAAGTGTTCTCAGATAAAATAATGTTTAAATCATGTGTGTTGAGATGAATAAGATTCAGAATACAGAATTTTAAGGAATAAGAAAAAAGATAACACAAATTGTATATTGGAGTATAATCAGTACAATAACTAATTGAATAAGAGAGGAATAATAACATGGATAATGTATTTAATAGAGTGTTTTCATTTTGTGAAATACAACTTATAAACAAGAAGTTAAACAAGAACTACACAAAACACATTGTTTTAGATATATGTATA